GCAGAAGGGTCTAGGCCCGAAACATCAGCTTTCCTGCTCCTCTGATGCTGCTTGGCCTGCTGTGTTCATCCAGCTCTATACCTTGTTATCCCTGGAAGAACAACACTTCATTTTCCACTTGGGGACTCTGCAGCCTTCAGAACTCAATATTGAGTTCAATGATTTTAGGGCCTGAGCACCATCTCCCATGTCCTTACTCCTACCTCCACACACCAGGCTTTGTGATTGCATGGGCTGCTACCGTAACCATCCCATTGTCAGCCACTAATGGTCCCCATTCGCAACTATTGATTCTCCATGGCTGACCTTTACCCATTCTTTTGCCTGCCCAATTGCTGCTTTTTCTCTCTCTGGGTTCCATCTCCACCTATTGTTTAGTCTTCCTCATCCTCCCTCCCCCACCCCACCCCATATATACCAACCTTTTGCTGGCTACAGTCAGTGCTAAAGAAGGGTCACTGGACCCGAAACGTTAACTCTGCTTTGTCTCCACAGATGCTGCCAGACCGGCTGAGTTTTCGAGCGATTTCTGTTTGTGTTTCTGATTTCCAGCAACTGCAGTTCTTTTTTTTTCCCCTATTTTTTAAGAGTTGCTGCCAGCACAGACAACCCATTTCAACTATTCACAGTTCCCCTTAGATTTATCTCTCTCCCAGCTTATCATCAGTAACCCATTTGTCCTCTTTCCTCTCTCTTTGCACCATCTCCACTTATCCCACTCACTCCTTACCAAGAGCCCCACCCCACCCCCACACCACCATCACCACATTGCTGGTGAAACTCAGCTGTTCTGGCAGCATCTCTGGAGAGAAAGCAGAATTAATGTTTTGCATCCAGTGACCTTGATCTTTGATTTATTTCAGGTCTGTCAAAGGGTCACTGGACTCAAAGCATTAACTCTTGCTCTCTCTCCACAGATACTGCCAGATTTGCTGAGCTTCTCCAGCACCTTCTGTTTATGTTTCAGATCTTCAGCATCTGTTAATCTTTATGTTATTCGATATCTTTACTTGGAAAAGTTCTCTAGAGAATGATGAAACATTGACAGGTTGTTCAAATAATTGAATGAAATTATTAGCTAAGAACTGGCTTCTTTCTTGTTATATTGAGGTCAATTCAATATTGCCAAGCAAAATGAAGAAAGATTAAAGAACTGGGTTTCCGCACTCAGTCACTTCTAATATGGCAGTCATATGTAAATCTTAAAAAGAACGTTGTGAGTTCTAAGGTCCACTGAATTAAATATTTTGGATTTGCTCTGTATCCTAAATATTTTCAAAGATAACAGTGTATCATTAAATTCATTTTTTTTAACAAAACTAGGCCTATTTTGTAATTTTAGAAACATATCAAAAAGCAGCTTACCTAAATATTTTCACAATACTTTTCGTCAACCTTCCAATTATATTTTCACTGCATGAGAAAACTTTTTGAATACTATATTGATATAAATTTTAAAGGAATTAAAGTCAATTTGAATTGGCCCATGTCATACCTACAAATTAATGTTTGGGGGTTTGAGTGCAGATTGTCGGGTATTTCAAATGCAAGTGTCATGCAATGGACTATTTTGTTTTACAGGGATACAACATGGAAATGTCAATGTGGCTTCCTAAGAAACTACATTTGCTAAAGAAGGTTGCATCTCTGAGAGAAGCTGGTCACTCATTACCCAGTGAAATTCTTGAAAAGGTAGAGGGAATTAAAGACAAATGGCACCTGTTAGAGGTACGTTTTTTTTTAATAATAGTTCAGTTGATGGTTTGCATGTATGCACATATATGAAATAGAGAACCCCCTTTTATATTTCTTAGGAGTTATCTTATATTTTAGAGTGAGAATTAGATTTTATTGTCACATGTATTCAAGTACAGGAATACAGTGCGTACAGTGCACTTTGAGATTCTTAAACATAGAGATAAATATGTTAAACAGTGGATAAAAACATTGAACCTGTTGAGTTCAATCAAATTGTCAAGCTGTGAAGGAACTGCCAGTTTGTCAATCCATTTACATATCCTGGCCTTTACGTTTTTAGAAACAAAACTGTAATTAAGTCATTGCTTGCTGTTTCGCTCTGTATGTTGACAAAAGTGCAAAGGCTATCACTCTAGGATTTATGCTGCATGACTTATTTCCCAGCCTATTATCATGATGGAGTATTGGTCAGTTCAGGTTTTGATTAGCAGCTCCAAGCTCTTGTAAAGCCTTTGAAGTAGGTCTATGAATACAATTTAAAAACTATGTATTATATACATATATAAATAAGAGACTAAGTGGTAGAAGGAAGTTAAATGTAGTGAATAGTCAGTGAGGCCTTTTGTTTTCACTTATCAATAAATACTTAAGAACTTTGTTTTATTTTGGTTCAGCATGGGTCAAGTGTTCTAGTCATGGTGCACAGTGTGTGTGCTGGCATGATTAATGTGAAGGCAAAGAGTTTTGGGTGGACGGTAAAGACTGACATAATTTAACATTAGGTTGGCTATGGCTTTAAAGGGCAATGGGGTGAAGGAGCATAGAGGGTATGTATGCCATAAGGTGTGAGTAGAGGGATATAGGTTGGTATGAGAACTGTGGGGTGCTGTGTGGGAGGGGAGGCATGAAGTGACATTATTGGGCCCTGGGGATTGTGGCTGGATCAGGGGGATGTGTATGATGAGGGATTTTCCCAGTAGTGAGTTCCCCAGCACGAAGAAAGGGTGAATGCTGTAGGATGGCCAGGGAGTAGGCACCTTGCATACCCATGTGATTTACATTGCATGGGTCTGCGACCAATGTTCTTTTTTAAAGCCTTATGACCTGTGTGTCCTGCAGCTCCCTCCCTCACAGGTCAAGTCACTTACCTCACCCACTCTGAGTGTAGTCGCAGCTGCACTCTTTCCCACTGTGCACTTTCAATTTCCAACATGATGGAATGTGACAGCCAGTACTCCTCTGCCAATGACTTCCAGTCTCAGCCTGAACATGCTGGTGAGCCATCAACCATTGACATTCCCTTCCTAGCTTCCCATCCTATAAAACCCACAGGCTTAACACTTCTCCCAGTCCCCATTCAACACATCTACATGTGCCTGATCCTGCCTACCTTATCCACCCAGCCCTGAGGTGGCCATACCTGGTGTGGTCATTAACTTCTCCCACCAGCCCCACCAAAGCTAGCTTGCTCCTGACCATGCACGAATACCCCCACATAACTCCCTTTCCAGTCGTGCTTTGCCATATCTTCCCTTGCAGATCCTGTTGTTTCTCTTCACAAATGTACTCTGCCTTTCCCCAGAAACTGAAGATCCTGGTCCCAAAGACTAACCTGCTGAGGCACAGTCCCATGACAATGGCCACCTTTACCTTTTGCCAGCACCCCACCTTCCCCTTATTTTCTATGGATGGAATAGACAGACCAACTGTAGCTCACCTTGTCAGACAATGCCAGCTAAGACGTGCCCACCTTTGTGTCCATGAACTTCACTAAGGAGGATGCTGCCAAGGGTTTGAGTCATGGTCAACTGTTTTCTACACATGGAGTGCATTTGGTGTCAATCCTGCTGCCACATGGTGTAAGTGTGCCATATGACAAGATTTACACCCCCTTGATTGAGGACCGTTGAGAAACATGAGAAACTACCTGGTGGTGATACTAATGGGCAAGGCAAAGTGAGGCATGTGTGCATAAGGCATGCCTTTAAGTGCAAAGTAAATGTGTGCTAAGAGAAAAAATGAACAGCACTGATATATAGCATCATCAAAGCCATCAGCTGGGTGTCTGTTTCTGTGCACTAACTGTGCCGGCTACAGCTTTCCATGCTAATTGCCAGTGTGCCTAGCAATGCAAGCCTGTACTTTCAAAGTACACTGCCCATGCATTGGAGAGAATGGTGGCAATGGTTTTCTGAATGTCATATGCCATTGCACATGGAGAAAGGATACGTGCCATGGATTGTGTCCTGGTCTGAAGTTTGGTCGTAGACGAGGTACCTACTGTGGTTTCCATGTAGGTTTTTCCAATACCTAGTTTATTGGGTAAATTTGGAAAGACTGGAACTAAATATTAATGAGGCAAGTTGGGTAGTCAAAGAGGTGTCTAACAAGTTTTAATCCTCTTGAACTAGTTAACTCGATATTTACTGGTAAGAATCTTGCTTCACTGCCTGTGAAAAGCATGAATAATGACATGAGATGATCTTGACATTGAGATGGGCATCATCTGACTTCTCATCTGACTTAAAAGGCATCTGGATGGATACATTAATAGGTAGGGTTTAGTGGGATGTGGGCCAAATGCTGGCAAATCGGACTAGATTAATTTAGCATATCTGGTCAGCATGCTGTTTCTGTGCTGTACATCTCTATGGCTATATGATTCTGCCACAATCTCACCATAGTCCAGGTTGCTAAGTCTCCTATGAGATTCCGACCAGTGGAGATCACTATGGCAAGATGAGTGCCAGAATCAAACGAGAAGTCTGGTGTCAGGAACTTTCACCACAAGGCATCTTTTATGCTTTTGCTGAGTAGTAAGTCAAGATTCTTGCTAGGCAGTGGCGAATTATTATTTGAGGGTGATATTAGCTTGTTAAAAGCCTTATTAATGGGTATTGATATTCACTGTCCTATTTTACCACACATGCTGAATAAATGAGACATTAAGAAATCAGAGTGGGTACCTGGTGAATTCAGCAGGTACCTGGCTACAAGGAGCCTCCACGTTACTCAGCACCAAAAGCATCTCAGGGCATGATCCACTGGCACCAGCCATCCTCACCCCTCATCCACAGACATTGGCATTTGACATTTTCCAACTCCTCACAACCATTATGGTACCTCCCCGATACATGTGCAGACCACTCAGGAAACAGCAACTATCATTGAAATGCTGCTGCAAGGGTACTTTGCACAGAGGGACAGGCACCCAGTTGACAGATTGGATCAAAGTGCATCTCAGGACTGCTCACTGGCTGACTTAGTGCTTCCTCACTTAGCACACACATGCATGCCTGTAACATTGAAACCTTGCCTTGCAAATCATTCCTCATATCGTGTTGGCCCTTCTGCCAGAACCAAAGGCACTCATTACAGCCATTTTTCAGGGTGGGAAATCTTGTGAGAACATTCTGAGATGTTAGTTTAACACCTATAGCATGTGCCATCAGGCTGTACAGCTAACCCACTGCACGTATATCCAAACAGATGGCCATGTCAGAAACTAGGTGAGAGTGGTCCTCAGTCCAGATAAGGTTTGGGGGCAGATGTCAGTTAGGGGATCCTGGCACTGCCAACACTTGTCTGGGTGCATACAGCTTTTCACAGATGGTATGAGTGCATGGGATGCCAGTCTTTCAATGGATATCCGCTGAATGGCGAGTTGTTCTGACAACAGTACATGGTAAGATGGGGGTTAGAGTTAAGCATGAGAGATGCCATAGGAGTCGGGTATGCGTTTAATGAAGCAAGTTTGGTCAGGTTCGGTGAGAAATCCCTCCAAAACTCATTGGATGCAACTCACACTTAACCATAAAAATCATAAAAGATCCAGCCCATTATTTCACTTCATTCTGGCCATCCAGTATGAAAGTATCTCATAACCAATACAGTAAAATCTTTGCCTGTAATTCTTCACAGGTTAAAATGAAGTGCAACACACAACAGAATAAGTAAAACCTCAAAATTTACTTATTTCCTTCTGATCACACTAAAAGGTCAATTCCAATAATTTAATAGCCTAACATCAAACTGTCAAGTGCCTTCCATCCAACCTGTTTGCTCCAGCTAAAGGTATATTTCATCTGTAATTTTACCTCTCCTATGGTTTAGGGATTAACTATTCAGCAACAATAAAAGGCCCATTTTTATTCGTCCTCCAACGTTGTTGAATAAATCTTCAAAGTTTTAACAGCTGCTAATGCCAAGCCTTCTCTTGGCAGATGTTTAGTTTCTGTAACCAAAAGTCACTTAACCTATGAATCTTAAAGTTTTTCCCTAATTGTCCAGACTCAAAGGGTAATTTTGATAACCCTCATTAAATTTTACAGGTGCAAAAAGATGAGAAGGTAACATCCTTCAAACAAGTGTTTTTATAACACTGTGGACAAACTGAAACAAAAAAATCCCTCACCCCCAACATCTTCTCTCAACTTGCACCTTCAGCAATCACTAATGTCCCTTATATCCCTCCAAATTCTCTCCCAACACACTATTTTTCCCTTTGATCTCCCTCCAGCCAGTCACCTCTCCTTCATCAACTCCATCTTCCCTTCTAGTCTCTCTGCATCACCCCCATCAGTCCATCTGTCAGAATTCTAATACCTCCATCTCTTTCCAGATCTCTCCATGACCCCCAGTCTCTTCCTGTGATCTCTCTCTCCAGCACTCCATCTCTTTCCCTGAATTATCTCCCTAAACTCTGTAATCTCTATCCTGCCTATCCTTCAAACCACACCGTACCAACAACACCTTATGGTCTCAAACCCACCTGGGCAGCTTGTAGGCTATTCTACAGCATTCCCTGCCTCTCAGACAATCAAGCCCATCAATAAGGCTGATTTGTAGGAAGGGAACATGTTTTAAAATAAAGTACATCTTTAATTTTTCATGACCACATATACATAGAATCTTAAAGAGAATAGCATGAAAGTGATCTGTGTTGTACCTGCTGGGTTGCTGTGAGTTGTGCACACATGCAGTTTAGAGGGAGCATTTACCACAAAGGCATACAGCAGTGAGCAATGTCC